ATAATAATAATAATAATAATTTTATAATATAACATTTACGGATATCATGAAAATGGAATGATTAAATATTAGTAGCAGGTGAATAAAATTGTATTTCGGTTAAACAGGAATAATTATGTATTAATAGTATTAAACGAATTCGAAAAGAAATTATTAAATATTAATAGCAAGCTAACAGAATTTTATTTCGGTTGAATCAAAATGATTAAATATTAGCTACAAGAGAANATAATTATGTATTAATAGTATTAAACGAATTCGAAAAGAAATTATTAAATATTAATAGCAAGCTAACAGAATTTTATTTCGGTTGAATCAAAATGATTAAATATTAGCTACAAGAGAATGCAATATTATATAAAAGGGAAGTAATTAAATTTTGATAGCAGGGGAATAAAATTATATTTTGGTTGAAAAGAAATAGCTAAGTCAATGCGGTCTAGCATTGTCCTGCTGGAAAATGACACCTTTACGATTGACCGATTCTGGTCGCTTTTCCTTGACCGCTGCATTCAATTTGTCCAGTTGCTATCATTCGCGGATAATAAAAAATAACATAATAATAATAATAATAATAATTTTATAATATAACATTTACGGATATCATAAAAATGAGAGTGAGAGACATCTATAACTGAAATCGGCAATTACTTAGTTGCCAACCCAATGGTTCCTAACTCGAATAGCCATTATTTGCAGCCAATCTAAACTTGCAGCACCCACTGCGAGATATCTCGTAGCTGGCAGTTTTGGTACAGACGCTTTACTACGAGATATCTCGTAGTTGGCAGTCAATGGGTTAATTGCAAAGGTCCGCCGAAGACTATGAAAAGTATCGAAAAGGCGTGTCCGGATCACGGTGGCCTCTTTCGTCGTAACATAAATCGTCCCGTAACAACTTCGTAATCGAGAATTGACGTCAGCGGAAGGACCGGTGGGTCCCGGCCCGCTGATTTCCACGCGCCTCGTCGCTTCGATGAATTCCCGGCTCGGCGCGTACTCGACAATGCTCGTGTCGACCAGTTGTAACCGAGAACCGACCCGATCGCAAGCTGCCGAGGCCAATCCCGCGTGAAACTCGTGCAGAGGTTACGCTACCCGATGCCCGATGTACCAGCAAACGATCGTTTCTCGGTTTCTCGAATGCCTTAGATCGATCGGAGATCGCGTTTAACTCTGGTAAACAATACCGGGAAAAACGCTTATCCTTGAAACACAGCGGTCGCATAATATTTTCTGATTATTATATTATATTATTTTATTATTATATTTATTATTATTATTTTTATATATATTATATTATTTTTATATTATTTTTATATTATATTATTATATATTATATATTTTCAGATTACGATCAGAGACAATCAAATCATCGCATTAAAATATATTTCACGGTAAGAAAAAACGTTAAAAAATGATTTATTTGTTTATTTGATTTGAACGGGATAATCCGTCGGTGCAAAGAGGAATACACAGGGTGTTACGCCTAACTGAGAACAGTGAAATATCTCGGAATAGATCGAAGCTACGAAAATAATGTTTATACAAAAAGTGTTCAGTATAAAGAGATGTTTCAGGTAGTATCGATAATTTTTTGATCGACGTAATGGTGAATGATATTTCAAGGTCAAGTTGATTTTTTTAAATAGGACCATACATCTTTTTAGTCATGATACGATAGCTGGTTTCAATACGAATCCAATGTTGTATTATTTCTTTCAAATAATCATAAATTAGAAGCAATTAAATTTGCAACAATGAGAGGCGGACGGTATTATGAAAGGTGTAAGGAAACACACAAAGGTTCGATTTCTGTTTACGTTCAGTGCAATGTTTACATGACATTGTTGCAGTCGCCCAATACAACGATCGATCTAAATATCTCCTAATTGCGGGGGTATAAAAAAAATGTTTATGCTATTTCAATGGTTCGGAAAAACCATTGTATTACAACAAAAAATTTTTCTTTAAGGTAATTTTTTTCGAAGTTTTCAAGGTCATCGATGTTTTCTTTGCGTATAATTGTATAATTTTTTTTATTGCATCGTGTAACCGATGTAAAAATATGTTTAGTTATGTACATTACACGACTTGGAAATGACCTTCGAGATCAAAAATTAAATGGAAACGTGGATTTACCCTATATCGTAAAGATCGTACCCCCGCAATTAGAGGAGATATTTAGGTGGCCTTATTTAGGTGGACCATCCTGTATATTGAAGTTTTGCAATATGTGGGGACAGTTGACAAGATCATTCAGCACTTTGTAATTATTATGTGTATTATTATATTATTATTATTAATATATTAATAATAATATAATAATATTATTTAAATATATTATTTAAATTTAATAATAATTAATAATATAATATTAATATATTAATATATAATATTATTATTATTATTATATTATTATTATTAATTATTGTGTATTATTATATATTATTATATTATTCAATGCGCCAGGAGACGAGACGCAAAAACCAATGCTGCACTCTTTCCAGACGTTTGATACGTTTGTCAAAGCAAGGCCACCAAATGAAGGAACAATATTCAAGGATTGGTCTGACGAGAGAAGAAATCTGAATGTGTGTTTGTCTCGGGGAAATATTTGGCCGTTCTGTGAATAAGTCCTAATGAACCGAGTCCACGAGGTATAATATCTTTATAGTGTTCAACAAAAGCTAAGTCTGAAGAGAACGTTACACCAATTATGTATACAGAAATGAGAACTGCGATTACGACTACGACTATGACTGCAACGACCCCTGAGGCATTTCGAGTCGAAGCATTCTGTGTCCGAGACACGTCGTTTCAATTCATGGCGTTTCGAACACCTACGAGCCTATCTCCACCCACGACGAGGTCGGCGAACCCGAGCTCAAGGTCATCCAAGGTTAAATAAACCCTGTAAACGCCGAGATTACTAACGTCCCCGAGGATTACTCGGACAAAATAGACGTTGTAAAGTATTCTTGTAATTTTCTTTTTCAACTGTGTGCCGAAGAAAAGGAATTCGTAGGTTGAATCGTCCTAACGACGTTATGATATTTTTCATTATTTTACAATACTGTATTCATATAAAATAAGTGTCCAAATTAGTCATAGTACTGCGAGATGTTTATTTGGCAATACTTAAATAGGCAATATTTAAATTACATTCTATCAGTTGTCGCAATATGCGCAATCTATTATAATATTCATTCGCATTGCAAATGACTCTATTTATACCGTTATTACGAGCATTACGAGAGTCCGGTGAGATTCCTGTATAAAAAGATACTTGTTGTCTAGAAGCCGGACGAGATATCCGTAGTTTAAAAAGATCACAGATGTCAGGGCCATTGAATGTTCTGTGAGCAAATAACAAATCATGCAATAATCGTATATGTTCGAGAGACGTAATATTTGGGCGTTCTTTTCTAATCTTTTGGGCAATTAAAAGCAAGAATTTATGTTGCACACGTTTTACAGAGTGTTCCATAATTATGGTACTTCCGGGAAATTATAGATTCTTGAGGTTATTCGAGGCAACTTTTTCCTTTACAAAAATATTCTCCGAGGCATCGTTAACGAATTATTAACGAAAAACACTGACCAATGAGAGGCGAACTCGGCTGGCGCGAGGCGGCCCAGCCAACGACCGCACGAAATCCAGTTCCGCTGATTGGCTTGGCCACCTAGCGTCAGGCGAGCTCGCCCCTCATTGGTCATTGTTTTTCGTTAATAACTCGTAAACCAAGCCGCGGATTGCATTTTCGCTAAGGAAAAAGTTACTTCGAATCACCTTAAGAATCCCTCATTTCTCGGAAATATCATAATTTTGGGACATCCTGTATATTGATGTTTAGGTCTACAGTAAATTCTCTCTAATTTTCTCCTTCGACTTGTAAACGAAAATGGACGATTTGAGAAAAGGAGATACGATTATTCGAGCTTTGCGCCTTGTTTTTATAGTGATTAAGAATCGGCAATTTTTGTTTACAAGCTGAAGGAAAATTAAATTAGATATATATAAATATAACTAAATTAAAAATTAAATCGCAGAAAAATTAAATAATAGACAGAACAGCGTGGTCAATGTATTCGTTCGCTCGGCACGAAAGGTCGTGGCCTGCTATATCGAGCCTGCCAGAATGTTTTCACCTTTCTGCCCTGAAATTAGGTCAGCGATCTCTTCGTCGAAAGGGCTCACAAGTACCTACGACCCATCCCTCGTCTCCCAACACCCGTCTCGTCTTCAACCCACGGAGAGGAAACTTGATTCAGAAACTCGAACGCGTGCAATAGAAACCCTTTCGATTCACATCGAAACCATGCGCATAAACTAGATACGTGAACCGGCCAATCACTGTAGCGAAAAGGAAATGTGTTAGCGTAAATAGATATCCTGTCTACGGTAGCGCCTTCTGTTTCGTCTGTGATAGTAGTTTAAACTGTCATTAGCTTCCGCAAACGCGAGTTCGATCATCGGATATACGATCGACATCTAGTCTAAAACTATCGTTGCAGCATAGTGTACAATAATTATTTGTATTAGCCTTTATAACTGATAATGTTTCCTTTGTATAATTATTTATAGTAACCTTTATAACACTGATAATGTTTCTTTTGTATAATTATTTATAGTAACCTTTATAACTGATAATGTTTCTTTTGTATAATTATTTATAGTAACCTTTATAACTGATAACGTTTCCTTTGTATAATTACTTATAGTAACCTTTATAACTGATAATGTTTCCTTTGTATAATTATTTATAATAACTTTTATAACTGATAATGTTTCTTTTGTATAATTACTTATAGTAACCTTTATAACTGATAATGTTTCTTTTGTATAATTATTCATAGTAACCTTTATAACTGATAACGCTTCTTTCGTATAATTTTTATTGTTTTTTCTTACGGATTTCCTTTCTTTTCGTAGTAAAGGGTCCCTTTCGATAATAAATAAATAAATAAATAAATAAAAATGAGCCGATTAAATGCGAAGCACTGAAAACATTTGAAGGATCTAAAAATACTGTTGCATTATTTTCGACTCATTAAAACGACTAATTGTAAGAAACGAAATAAATATCTGTGTAGCTATTGTATCTTGTAATTAGTGCGGACAATGTTTATTTCGCATAAAAATGCGTCTATTTATTACAGATATCTATCTAGATGTATCGACGTATCTTAGCAAGATTAAAATTATTGATTCAATCATGTTTCATGAAAGGATCTTTATAATTTCAATAATTTCGTACGCCTTTCAGACAAGCCCCTTTTACGAATAAGTAAACGATTTCGCAGCTGCGAAACGTCTCGCAATTCCCCCCCAAAAAATATAGAAAAAAATACGTCGTGGAACCGTTGAGAAGCATTTAGAAGTTATTCCGCGAACCCGGCGAATGGTGTTTCTCGTCTGCTGTCGAGCCAACGGCCGTTAATTACCGCCACCGAATTCGCAACGATAAAACAGGATCACGGTAGCAAAAGCATTCCGTTTCCACATAGTTTCCACATAGTTTCCACGGGGTTCAAGAAACAGGCGGAGCCCGAGGACGCCCCGGGCTCGAAATAAAACCGAATAGAATGAAATAGGACGGCCAAACTGGTCGGTGATGGGACACCAAAACGATGAATCACGAGACGGTGAATAATCTGTGTTCTCCAGCGTCAACGGGGGGACGAGTTTTCTTTTCTTGGACACGCTCGCTCCGCGGCCAGGCTGCATCACGCCACGACGCGCGATCGTTCGCGGCCAATTACGCGAATCGCCACGCCGTCGCGGCCGATCGTTCGCGAACTTTCCACAGAGTCGGAACCAGCAAAAACCAGCGAACGCTATTAGCGACAATGCGAATTATTCATGAGGCCGCGCGCAAGCTAACCACGTCAGGTAATTGCTCGTTACCAGACAATCCGCGGATAGAGACAAGATTTTCATCGGACCCGTTCCATCGTGTGCCGCCAGTCCATGACCGCATCGTTCTGTTGCGCCCTAAGGCCAGTGTCTCCTAACGTGGCGCATACGCTCCACCGAGGGACAATCCTCTATACAGTAAATTCTCCCTAATTGTCGCTCAGATTGTGCATAAATACGAACAATATGGGAAAGAGGAGACACGATTATTCGAGCCACGCGGCTCGTTTTTATAGTTGTTGATAATCGGTAACTATAAAAACGAGCCGCGAGGCTCGAATAATCGTGTCTCCCCTTCCCAAATTGTCCATTTTGTGTACAATCTGCGCGTCAATTACAGAGAATTTACTGTAATTGGATTTCTGTGGTCGCAAAAAGTCGCAACTTCTTTTTTATTCTAGTATTCATTTATGTCTAGTTTTGATCGCGAAACGCAAAAAGTCGATGGAACTCGAAGGGCCTTAATTACAAGTGAAAAAGAATGTCGGTGTTAAAATTTGCTTTTATTTTACGCCATTCAATGTTCTGTGAGCAAATAACAAATCTTGCAATAATCGTATATGTTCGAGAGACATAATGTTTAGGCGTCCCAGTACCAGAATTTAGTCATAATCATATAATAGACATCTGGCTCCCCGAGAATCGGTCAATTAAAAGCAAGAATTTATGTTGCACACGTTCTATATTGATATTTAAGTCCGCAGTAAATTCTCCCTAATTTTCCTTCAGCTTGCAATGGATAATTTGGGGAAAGGAGGCTCGAATAATCGTGTCTCCTCTTCCCAAATTGTCCATTTTGTATACAATCTGAGCGTCAATTACCGAGAATTTATTGTATTTTGAGTAGCAATTAGAAAATAATGATCAGGAATAAGCTTGATAAATTGACGTGGCAATTCTAACGTCCCGAAGAAATACACAAAATAAAGGAATAAAAAAATGTAACATGTCTTATTCACTGAATATAAAGTTAATTATGCCCGGAAATAAACCAAAGTCACAGCAATACTTCTTTAGCTGAATTCTTAAATTGTACAAACGAGATGTAAGAAATACGAATTTTTATCGATGGTCCAACATTCTAGGGGCAGAAATTTCCGAGTACGATGTACGTTCTTCCCCTGCAGGAATTTCGAACCAGATAAACGGCTTAAACTTCCCCTAATTTCACGAGCAGTCCATCATAATACGGACGCGCTCCTCGATATCGACCACGCTCGCGGGAGTGAAACGAAGTGGAGTGTGCGTTCGGTAGGCGAAAATCGTGATACAACGACGAGCTATTCCCTGGCGTTTTCAACAGGTTTTACATTTAACCCCTTTCACTACGATTTCTACGTCAATTAGCACTTCTTCGTCCTTAACACTAAACTTACCGAGCCGGTCGAAAGAACCGGTTTTACACATTTTGTTTCAATGTTCGCTGAAACTATGAAGATGCTTTCAGAGAAGATGATCGAATAAATTTGTTAATCAAAGTATACGTTACAACAAAAACGGCGAAATGTCCAAATAAAGTAATAAATCTTGTCTGAATAAAGTAAATAAATCTTGTAAAGTAACGCAAGTTTTCCAGCCTTGGTGCTTAAGCAGACTTTAGAATTAATAATTTCCTTAATAAAACGTGAATGTGTTTCTTCGTCTACTTCCATTTCTAGATTTTAATGACAGCAGTAGATTGCGTACGAAATCTTCATCGCTAGTCTGACACGTTGTTGCAACACGCGAAGGGTTAATTGTGACTGCATTCGCGCAAGGCCGTACGCTGGTATGGGAAAGTCGCGCGCAACGATCGGAGAGAAAGCAGATGTTCGAACGAAAAAAAAAAAAAAAAAAGCGACATTAACGTTGACCAAACCAAATACAGGAAAACGTGCGCCGCGTATTTCGAAACAAGTTACCCAAGGCATTATGTGCACCGGAGCGGTCGAGAATATATGGCGGTTCGATAACGCGTCGCCGCGACTCTTATTAAGCGATAGGGATTTCGAACTCGAGGACAACTTGCAAGAGCTAACAGGAACTACAGTAATTTGCCAAAATTCGGGTTGCTGTGAATTTCCCTGTGCTAGTCCTACGTCTGTGTAATTTATTGCTACGTCGATGCTAAGGGTCTATGGAGTCGGTCAAGCGTGTGATGTGGCTCGCAAATTCCCGGAAGACAACATAAAATGGCGTGTTTGGGTGTGAGTCAAGTAAGAGAAACCGCGGAGATAAAAGTTACCTGGTAAGTACTAGGTACGTGACCCTCGAATCGTGACATGTGGCCTCCGAATTGCCTTCGAATTGTGTCACGTGGCTTTCAAATTGCCTTCTATTCGTGGCATGTGGCCTTCGAATTACCTTCTAATCGTGGTATGTGGCCTCTGAATTGCCTTCGAATCGTGTCACATGGCCTTTGAATTGCCTTCTAATCGTGTCATGTGGCCTTTGAATTGCCTTCTAATCGTGGTATGTGGCCTCTGAATTGCCTTCGAATCGTGTCACATGG